GCTGAAATGGGCTTTCTTAGACGAGCGGCTGGCTTTACGCTCTCGACATGATCCGGAATACTGACATCCGGGGGTGCTTTGGCGTACAGCCTTTGCTTCTTCAGAGTGAGAATTCACTGCTGGGACTGTTTGGATGTTGTGAATGCCTCCAGGAAAGAAGGCTGAGCAACCCTTTTCTTGCGAATCAGACCCCGCATAAGGCCCAGGGGAGGGCCAAGATTAACCTGGTGCAAATACATAGAAGGTGTTTGTTCCAGACTCCAGTTGCCTTGTGCCGAAGCTCAGACTCTGGCACAGGATCGGGGACGTTGGAAGCTGTTTCTCACGCATCTGCCTCGGCGACCCGAAAGTTGAAGGTCTACCGAAGATGAATACGATATGGTGCAGAAACTAGTGCATTACATCAATAGTGTTGAAAACGCTATACGGCGACGATCTCAACAGACAACAACAACGTCTAATAATTTATGGTATGGTGGCGAGGTGGCGACCTCCACCACAAAGTGATGATAAAGTAATATAATATATGATTTCAAGACTAAGCTACAGCATGCAATCAATGAGGAATCATTGGTTAGGTGATTGAGAAACTCATCGTAACACAAATGAAAAAAAACTGAAATGCAAAACGTTCAGGTTAACGGACATCGCGGATCTTATAAACATTGTCGAGTTTTGCAGATGGCTTAAGCTAACTGTGGAAAGGCAACAATAGCAATGACGTATAGCCCTACTGATTCATCGTTGTCAAGACGAAAGACAAGCGGATGGCAAAGTTCGGATTCGAACGTATTATCATTCGACGTGTAGGTGGATGGTTACAAATATCAATGATGACAGGAAGGCAACTGTTGAATGTCAATGAGTGCAAATCCCGCCTGCGACAAGTCTGTCGGCAGTTCAGAACGACCGCAAAGAAATTACAGAATCTTTGCCGGTGTTTTACCGTCTCGAAACAATGTACTAAGTTCAAAAACAATAGCACGCATTAAAGTAAAGTGCCACTATTCAAACCACTGTTCAATCAATCAATCAATCAATGAACACTTTTTTTCAAAGTTTATTAATTGTTGTAACGTAATAAATTGGACAGACGTGCGAACATGCTGCTAGCGAACATCATCGGCCGACTTTTGACCAGTCAGGCGGAGGTATCATTCAGTAGTTGAATGAGTCACGAAACGAATAGCAAAGAAAGCAGTATCGGTGCCGGGAAATAACCGGACAACCTGCCATTTTCAAACGCTGTAACAGAGATAATTTATGTGACAAAATGGAACCCCGATGTTCTGGGAAGCTATCGATACTGCCGTTGAATATATCACAGTAAAAATAATGATACCAAATTGAAAAGGCAAACGTAGTGTAAAGAAAGAAAAATCATTTTCTCATTTTACACCAGAAGCTCTATTGCACAGGGGGACCACTTAAGCAGCAATATGGTATTTAAGCGCCTGTAATGCATAGGACGCGGGACCGCATCTCAA